TTATGGTTTAAAAATTAATTTAAATGACTGAGTTTATATTTTGATATTGTATTTATAATAATATACTCTTCCAAGCAATTTAAACACTTTTACATTTCATGTGCACTATAATATATTTGTTTATTTTATATTTAAAAAATTAAATATATGTGATTGCCGGTCTTTCGTATGTTACATAAACATACATTCCTAATTTTACAAACAACAATAATTCATTGCAACATACTCTCTACATCCGTAATTAAACATATCATCATTTTTAAATTAAATAGCAATTTATTACAACACTAGTACAACATCCGTGTATTACATGGGTGCTTGTTAAAAAATTATTCTTTAATTTTAAAATTAATGAGAAAACTATATTACATTTAGTTTACTTTTTTACAAAAAAAAAAATATATTACTATATATTTTAGAATGATATGTATTACTTATGACTTACATGTGTTATATTATATTAGTTTTTATAACTTATATCATATAACTATTTGAAATATAAATATATTAGTTGATAAATAATTTTATTTTTTTAATTAATATTAAAAATAATTTTATTATTGTTATAAAGATAAATATAAATTATTTTTTATACATACAATATGGATGTTAAATCGAAGCTCCAAAAGAAGATTAATTTGATATATTACATATGTAAAACTGATAAAAAATACAAAAGTTATTAACTTTTAAAATATACAATTCAATAGTTATAATAAGGAATGATATTAAAATGCAATTAATACATGTAACATGACCATAAATAATCAACATATTTATGGTAATTCGAATCTAATTATTTTTTGTTTGGAATTAAATTAAAATTTACGCAAGCCTAATAACGAAGCATGTAATTTTGCCACATATGATTCCGAAACACCAGAAGCAGCCACGTAGGCTCAGTGCGTTCTGGATTAATATATAGGGGGAGGGATACTCTCTACATCCTTAGTTATGAAAAATAATAACTTGATAATTATTATACAAATTTGATTTGTTTAATTATGTACTATCAAATATCATGAATCATGATTAATTACTAATATAAATGAATTACTTTATAATTTGATATTATCTTTATAATAATCTTCGTTCGAGTAAATTCCATACTTTTTTACATTTCATGTGCATATATCTATATGTTTGTTCAATTATTTATGTTTTATAATGAAATATCATAATTTTTAAATAACCATTTACATTATCTTTAAATCCTCCCTGTATATAATTCCCGAATGCGCTGAGCCTACGTGGCTGCTTCTGGTGCTTCGGAATCCTATTTGGCGAAGAATCATGCTTCGTAATTAGGTTTGGATAAATAATATTGATATATTAATAATTAATAATCTAGGTTCGGGTATTGTATAAATATTATTTAGCTAACTTAGGTATTTTAATATCACTTTTACTAATATAACCCTTTAATTTTTTGTAATTTTACATAGTGAGACACTAAGTGACTAATATATACCTGAATTTTGATTTGTTTCCTTCAA